CGTGTGAGCAGCTGGCAGCCTCTCCCGCTGCCCCTTCGGGATGCGCAGGATCCAAAGGTTGTTCCCGCGAGCGGCCACGTGTCCCGGAGCCGTGCCCCGCGCGGCCCACACCCTCCGGAGGACGACCGGGGAATCGAACTCGGGTCGTCAGGGTGGGCGACTGGGCCTTCGCTCGCCAACCCCAATCTGCACTCTTCTTTATTCATGTCTGACTCAGCAACGTGTGTGTGTGTGAAATGCTTTGTTCGTGTATGACTCGGCAAATACTGTGTCTGTCTTTTCTTGTATTTCCAGCACTTTGATTAAACGACGCTGTTACATAAGGCGGGGGAGGCTTGTCCCTTGGTTCTGTGCTTTTCCAAGCAGGGCACTGAATCAAGCAAGAGACGAGTTTAACCTGAAGTTTGTTTGGCAAAGCGAAGCAAGCGCGTGCACCCAAGAGAGTGGAGTGCGATGCCCTGGAGGAAGGATTGGGGAGTAGTCCTCAAGGATTGTGGATTTTACAGACTTTTTTTTTTTATGAATACTTAGGAGGTGGGTAGCATTCTTGGGGGTAAGATGACCCACTTCCTCTCCCAAATCATGGAGAATCAGCTTTCCCTTTTCTGGTTATTCCTTCCATCGATCTGTGGACGAGGGTACAAGCAGGTGGATCGAGAAACAAAGCCGTGTAAGCGACATTTTAATGAAGTAAGGATGAAGCAAGGGCCTTTGGAGCATGCCAGCCGCGTCCGTGTGTGGGGGGGGGGCGGCCTTGGGGGTCTAGTTTCTGGTACAGTTAAGCGCACTGAGGGGCAGCTGACCCTGGGGAGACAGTGCTACCAACTTAAATCTAGCCATCTCCCCAGTAACAACCCCACTGCCATTCTCTCTCCACTACCGAATATCTGTCTCTGTCTCTCTGCACACACGCCACCACAACTCACACAGTCATGAGTTCCTAAGTAAAACCGTTATGCCTTCCACATTTATGCCCTGATGTCAGACAAGTGACTGGCATTTTAGTGCACGGTCAGGAAATGGCTATTTACTAATGAGATGGATTGCTGAGTTTGATCCCCAACACCCCCACTAGGAAGAGAGACCTGTGTACTGTGTGATGCTTGAGTATCGTCCAGCACTGGAAAATAAGATGAAAATGGGCCGAACCATCCCTGGGGCTTGCTCCATGATCAGTGAGTTCCAAGTACCAGTGAGAGATCCTGTCTCAAAAAGACAAGATGGGTGGATCTGGATCAATAGGTCATTCTTCAGTGACAGGTTCCTGAAAGGAAGGTCCAGGAGATCAAAAGACTGGAAACTTGGGGTCAGGAGGTACCTATGTCTTATGCCAAGCAAATTTATTTGTTTTGATTTTTCAACACCGGGTTTCTCTGTGAACATCCTGGCTGTCCTTGCACTCGCTCTGTAGGCCAGGCTGCCCTCAAACTCGCTGAGATCCACCTGCCTCTACTTCCCAAGTGCTGGGATTAAGGGTCTGTGCCACCACTGCCTGGCACCAAGCAAGTTTATTAAGAAGTTCACCGCCTTGCATACTGTTTTCAGAAGGGGACTGGGAAGTCAGGAAGGTGTGGAACAGAGTCAGCAGAAAGCGATCATACTATGGGACAAAGCAGGAAGTTGGGCAATGTCTCACAAAGGGAACACAGAGTGGTCCATGTGTGTCACAGACCAAGCACACAGGCTTTGGGATTGATAACTCCAGTCTCTTCAGGCAGAAAAGTCAGGTTCCCAAAAACTGAAACCTGAACTCTTTGGAGGCCATGGCCTCAGAAGGAACCTTGCTGAGTCTGCTGCTGGGCAAAGACAGAATTAGCATTCCCTTTCTCCTTTTGGGGGCCTCAGAGGGAAGCCTCGGATCAGCCCAGTTCCAGACAGAGGACAGCTGAGGATCAATAGCTAAGATCCACTTCTGCACACTGCACACACACACGATACTGTTAAATAGATACCAAGCATATGCTGGCATTATAATAGACATTTTAGAAGTGACATGGGGATAAACAAATGGACAAGGGGCCAGAATTAATCATCTCTACCAGAAGAAATCTGTTGATGACAAGGATGCTCTGTGGATCAGTGTGAAGGACAGGGGCCTCCAAGCTTTGTCCATGCCAGGCAAACACTGTACCAACTGTGGTAGTCCTTGACCTTCTTAGCTTTGGTATTTTTTAGTATAATTTCTACTTTAGACTTTTAGTCAAAAAAAAAAAAAATGAGATTTTTGAGTTACTTAGGTTGGCCTTTAAACTTCTCTTGGTCCACCTCTGAAGTCAATGGAGTGTCTTTGATAAAAAGATCAGCTCTCTTTTTTGTTGTTGTTTGTTTGTTTTGTTTTGTTTTTGTGGAAATAATGGAGATAGAGACTAGGATAAAATAAGATCCACTTTGCACCAGCATTCCGCAAAGACTCCTGAGAGGCAATGGTACATGACAGGAGGAATCTGTATGAAGCCTGCACTGCTTTTCCTGAATGAGTCGCAAGCGTGATTTCTACCACAGGGATGGTCTTTGTAACAAAGTGTGCCCAGGAGAAAAGGGGACCTTATTCGTGCATTCCATGAGTGGCTTCTGAGACATTAAGTCATTAGTACACACATCGTACTTCCCATGTGCGAGGCTGGGCTATGTTTTGGAAAGAAAAGTAGTACTTGTGGTGGTAAACTGTTGTGGACCTTAGACACATCAGGTGGGAAACAGAAGCAGCCCTCACTAAACAAGACACCAGTATCTAATGTTGCTATTTTGCTGTAGCTGTGGGCAATCAAACATGAACCACAAAACCCACATGGAGTTTATTGGGGAAAGGGAGCAAAGGGAGGGGTAGGTGTTGGCCAACCAGGAACAGAGATGGAAGGGGAAAAAGAAGGAAGAAGGGGAAGAAGAAGCAAACAGGTGGGAGGCACTTGCTTAAGAGGGAACTCTTGCACATGCCTACAGAGTCCTTAGGAAGCCATGACGTAGCCACGCAACACAAGGCCCTTTGAGCCATACTCCTCTGAGAGGCAGTCAGTTAAAGTAGTACTGGAAGGGCCCTTCCAGTCACAGGTGAACCTCTAGGTTGGATCCGGAAAGCATTTGAGAAGAGACAGCTTTATACAGACAAGAGTCACACGGGTATCAATGTTACTAAATACTGAGAAAGAGAACTTGAGTGGAGAAAATGGCAACTTTAAGTAAGCAGATCTGTGCCTACCCGGAACAAACAGGAAAACACTAGGACCTGGGAAGGATCTATATAGCCCAGAGTTCTGAGGAGAGCTAAACAGGTAGTTGATGGGGTGTTTGTGAAGGAACTTGAGAGGGCTATTTCAGCAAAAGTTGGGGGGAAAAAACCCCAAAACCTGGAAACTGGATTTGACTG